CTTTCTTTTTCCACAGCCGTTCCCTTAGCTCATTAACACGCTTATCCATAACTGCCACCTCCGAGTTGCGCTTGTTTAAAGAGTCCCTCTGTTGTTGTAGCTTGGCATTCTGCTCCTGGTTCAGTTTGTTCCTCAGCTGAATGCAAAAGAAACAACTTTTCAGGATGATGCTAGAATGCATCTTGACAATTAACAGAATATTACGCAAAAGTTTGGGAGAAAGAAGTCTGGAAAAGTAGCTCTGACTAGATTTTACGTATTTCTTTCCACAAAATGGCCGGTAATTATAATTATATACACAAAATAACCTAGAAGATAGCATAACTTATGTACATTGTTAGGGATTATATAATTCTGGTTTACTAAGGGTTTCTCCCCCCCCCCCCGAGGCAGATGGAGATACAACCCATTTAGCCCTTCTTGCAGTCTGCAGGGTAGAATTCCAGTTACCTGAAGCTCTTTATACAGGCGGTCAAGCTCAGCTACAGCAGACTGGTTGTCATGGTAACCATCAACCCGGCCATTCTTCAGCATCTCCAATTGCCTGGTAAGTTCTTCTACCTTTGACACAGCCAGTACCAGTTCTCGTTGTTTTTGCTGGAACAAACTGTTCATCTGCTCAATCTCCTCGACTAAAGAGGAAGACAAAATACAATAGCAGTAGTGGAGAAATGACCAAATGTTGGCTGCTCCCAAGTTGGCTCTTAAAGGGACAGAAACCCTGTATTGCTCTCCAACACAGAGCCGGAAAAAAGCTAAGCATAAAGTTTTAAAGGAAAAAACACATTTTATCAATCCTAAGCAAAACTGAAGCTGGGGAGTTATAATTTCAAAATGCCCTGCCTTATGAGAAATATTACTTGAAAAAAATTACAATCAGAATGTGGAACATTTTTAGCCACAAAGGCATATTTCATCATGGGAAACTTTCTGAGTTTATGTGCAGTGGTAAGCAAGATAAATGGCAAGCCCTACCCAAACAGTCACATATTTGCACTCTGTATGCTATTTTGCTTTCAACATGAATGTATAATGAAACAAAAATGCAACAATTTTGAAATACAGCAATTTTTAAAACTTTGCCTATCTAAAGATATTGGAAACTTTATCTCCTATTTGCAAAACCAGCATGGCTAATCATCAACCACTAGCCTTCAGAATAGTGTCTGTATTGGTCTGCTTATGTTGGTCTGCTTGATTAGTAAATCAAGTCTCATAAAATAAAGAGATTAAAAAAAACTTGAAGGAATGTGTTTGTGAGAAATTTTATACTCTGCATGTCAACTATGAAATAAATGCACTATTGTCTCCACATTCAGATCATTTCATAAATGAAAGAAGACCAACTTGGGATCCCTTGATAACTAGTCTTAGAAGTTATTCTGTAATATTCAAGGGAATACTATCTTCTACTACCTTCCTAAATGTTAAAATGCTATTCAAATATTGCTTTACAGAAGTCAATCAAATCAGGAGGGATTTGAAATTAGAATACTACTACTAACACTTAATTTTTACTTTACTTCCAAAGCAAATATATATTTCTTGTTTATTCAAATATAATAATATATACAATGCCAATTACACACTTCCCATGGTTTTATTTATATTTTCTATACAATTCTAAGATCCTGAAGTTGAAACTCAAGTACTTTGGCCACCTAATGAGAAGGAAGGACTCACTGGAGAAGAGCCTAATGCTGGGAAAGATTGAGGGCAATAGAAGAAGGGGACGACAGAGAATGACGTGGCTGGATGGAGTCACTGAAGCAGTAGACGTGAGCTTAAATGGACTCCAGAAGATGGTAGAGGACAGGAAGTCCTGGAGGAACGTTGTCCATGGGGTCGCAATGGGTCAGACACGACTTCGCAACTAACAACAACAATACAATTCTATTCTAATTTCTATAATAATTCTGTTCACTTATGATTCATATGGCCATTCCTATGTGAAGATGTTAAATTCTATGCATTTTATTCTACTTGGTAGATAATAAATGTAAAATACAGTCACAGGGAAGCAAAATACACATGGGACAGGAAAAAGTACAATATACAAATTTGTAAAATTATTTCCAAATTGCCTTTTCATCAAGAGAGCTTTCTCCACAAATCATTCACAATCTGAAAAAAGAGTTTAATCCTAATATAACTCTACTAAACTTTTAAAATTAAACTTGTAAGCGAAGTGTCCATATCAATCATTTTCTCTAATCAGACTCCAAACAAGTTGCTTTCTGTATCAAAGTGGTCTACAATATAATAAGTAAATAAAGATGGTTTTAGAGCATATTTTTCTAGAAGGAGCAGAAAACTTTTATGAAATGGAACCCTGAAAAATATTCCAGCACATCATTAATTATAAATATCTAAATATTAACTTTTAAACAAATCAGAATTTCAAAACTGAATTATAGCTCACCTAACTTCCCATTACTGAGCCGTTTCTGCTCTACATGGCCTTTAAGTGCTCTCACTTTTTTCAGCTTGGCTTCCTGATTCTCAGCAATTTCTTTTAATCTTTTGAGCTTCTCCTGCTCTGCAGCTTGTTGCTGTTGCCGTTGATCCTGCTGTTTCAGAAATTTTAAACGCTGCTCCTACAGGTGTACAATATAAGCATTAAGCTAACTTTAAAATACATTACAGATAATCCTCGACTTACAACCATTTGTTTAGTGACCATTCAAAGTTACTGTAGCCCTGAAAAAAAGTAACTTGTGACTGGTCCTTGCACTTACAATGTCGCAGCATCCCAGGGTCACATGATCGCTATTTGTGACCTCTCAGCTGGCTTTTGACAAGCAAAGTCGATGTGGGAAAGCAGATTTGCTTAATGACCACATACTTCACTTAATAACTGCAGTGATTTGCTTAACCATGACAAAAAAGGTGATAAAATTGGGCATGACTCACTTAACAACTGCCTTGCTTAGCAATGGAAATTATAGTCCCAATTATTCCTAAAATAAACTCTCTGCAATACATCCAGTGAGCACAATGCATTTGATTATTTCAGTTACTAAACACAAGCCAGCAGCAGCATGTTACTCACCAAAGACAATCATATTAAATTAAACCTATGGTTTAGGTTACCCAAATCTCCCAATTGTCAACACATCTGGAGAAGGGGTTTGTCATTTTTAATAATCAAAATTATCTTCAAGGGAAGAGTTCAAGTACGCACAGACACACTTTTGTAATTCTTACACATGTGCGGGAAGATTTCATTCTCTTATTAATCTTCCCAACTGAAGAATCCTGGAGTATTCCAACAGGACAGGACTGATCCTTGGATAATAAACATAAGGGAAACATACTCTATCCACTGATATTCAATATATTATATACTATATGTTCAATTAATTTAAATGGATAGCATATTTGACATTGATGGTGCCTGATTTCATATCTCGGCTTTGCCATCAATTTAATGGGTGTCCTTGGAGGAGTCTCAATTTGCCTTAACACAGTTTAGAAGTATCTAAAGAATTCCAACCCACTTTTGAAGAAATACATAATTCACAAAACTCATGTTTAAGAAAGTTACTTTGTCATTCTTTTTTTGAAAAAAAAATCATAAATTATACACATACACATAAAACACACACGCCACAGACACAAAACATATTTCAACAAACCTTGTTAGCCAGCAGTTGCTGCTGTGCTTCTATTTGCTGCTGTTGTCGTGCTGCCATTTCCTGCAGCTCTGCCAGGGTCATGTCCATCCGAGGAACAATGACCTTCATTTTTAAAAAATGATACGTAAATGATATTTTGTTGAAGCTCACACAATAAATTTGCCACTAGGTTTCAAATGTAAAAGGCTGCCTTAGTATTTGGGGATTGTTTTAAAGAAGGAATTGAATGTGGAATGATAGTTTCCTGATTAAAAAGACCATTAAGTTACTGGTAGATCTTTTATCCAATGGACACAAAATAAAATAATGAAAGAGGAAACTCTCCAGAAATGGCCATGTCTACTAGCATCCAGCTATCAACTTTCTTGACTGACTGAATACCAGAAGCCAAGAGTAAATGAACCACCCAACATGCAAATTATGGGAGAATTCAAGTGCACAATGCAAATACAGGCTGCTTGCCAATTTGACTAGAGGCTAAAAATAATTATTCTCTCATCCCAAATATAGGAAGTACAGTAGAAAACAAAACCAGGAAGTTTCCATGAAGAACATTTCACACAGAGATTTATCTTCACCCCCAAAGTTTAAAGAAGCCAGATTTTTGTAACTTTTCTTAAAATTATTTTCCTCAACTCTCCGAATTAGAGAAAAATAATACCTCCTACTGTACTTCATCTTACTATACTAGTACTTGTTTATCTAGATCAGGTGTGAAGGTGCTTATAGCAACTGCCAGTCTTTACAAAGATACTGAAGTCCTGGCTTTTCCTACAGACCCTGTATCTCGCCTCTGGCATAGTATGTTTTATTTTATTATGCTTAATTATCATTTTTCTTTATATTTGTAACCTTCATTTTATTTATTTATTACAATTTAAAGGTTGCCTGACTCTGGATGGCTTATAATTAAAAAGAGAAATATTAAAACAAAAAAACAAAAAAAAAATCCAAAGAACTGAAAATTATAGGTGGCTTAAAACATAAAAACAAAGTTTCAAAATATTTTTTGTCCTTGAATCCCAAGCGCTGCTGCACAGCACAACTTCCTAATTCCTAAAGGTTACGGCCCACTTGTCTGTACAAGGAACTGATTACATAGTTCTAATTGAAAGATCAGTCTCTTTGTCTGTTGTAAGCAATTTGGGATTGCTTAGTCTGAGTAAAACTAGACTCCCTTTACAACAAAACTCCAGGGTGACAACATAGATATTGCCATGAATTTTTTTTGGGTAATAATATGGATTCTCTCTTTTTTTTCAAAATGCCAATCTAGATTACAGTCCTAGAATTCTCTGTGAATTCCATTCAACCTGCTTTGTTGAGGTTGGCCAGAGGCTACCACCTGTTTGATTGCTTTAAAACACTGTGTGAAATGTTCTGAAAATAAGACCTCTGTAAACTTACTAGAATAAATTATGTGCTTAGATTTATTTGAGAGTACTAACTGAAAATACTTACTCCATTCTCCATTCTCCTTTCACCTGGCATTTTAATGCCATTTCTCTTTAAACTTGGATCTTGCATCCGTGGCCCACTCCCTTTATTAAGTAAAACACAGAAAACACCACTTTTAAATAACAGAATTTGCTTAAGTATAGCTTTTCTTTTATACAGCTGGAAAATTGAAGTGGTAAAAGAATCAAATTGTTTTACAATTTTAAATCAATGCTTAAATAGTAAATAAATACAAAAATACATTCAAAATTCACATCTCTAAATCAGTGAAGAATGCCTTGTCAAGTTTCTGTTGAATGGCTGATTATGCAACAAATTCATTAGATTTCTCTGAAACACTATATAGAGATAAATAAATAAGAAAAGGTTTTTTTTCATGAAAATTAAAATACACAAGCCACAGAATAAACAACCCAGCAATTATGTAAAATAAAAACAAAAGGACTGGCTTATAAAAAATAGTGACACTTATGCCATTATAACATAACTATTTTGCAGTTGTGACAAGAATTCAAAGATATTTGCTTATCAACCAAATTCCAGAAAAAAAACATCTCTCACTGATTCATTCATTTATTCAGTCAGTCAATTTAGAGGCCATTCAACTCAACAAGACTCTGTGCAGCTTATAACATTAAAACCAAGAAAACAATAAAGCAGTGAGAATGAAGATTATATACATCCAGAAGAAAAAAATAGTTAATTGAGTCACATTCTACAAGGGCTGAACACCATTCTGGCTCTTTAATTTTATATATTCAGTTAGTTACTTGATAAATAAAAGAATGAACAATGAATTTAAAATGTTGACAACTATACATTCTGTTCATTTACTAATATGTTACTTCCCGTCCATTATATCTTTTCTCATTTTCTTTTTTCTTTTGTGTAATCATTTATTTTACTCTTTAACTGTTTTAAAATAAATTTATTTAAAAATAAATCACTTTATCCAAGACCTATGAGTATAGCCAATGCATTTTTTGAAGATCATCAGGGTGGGAGTGCACGATTCTCTGGGGCAATACTGTTCCAAAGGGCAGGGACAACAACGCTTCCTAGCTCCAGATAGAAGGCACTTTTTGGTCAAAAACACCTGGAGTGTACTCACTCCGCTCAATCTTTCAGGATAGGATAGTCTCCATCATTTTAGCTCTTACCAGTTTCTCGAGTAGGAGGTCGTTCATGGCGAAGAAAAAAGCGAACCTCATTTCTTTGGACTCCATAGCGCTGCAGAAGATCCAACATACGCTCGTTATCAGCTACAGGGCGTTCTGAAAAATAGAAAGCAATTTTGACGTATTTTCTCAATTGTGCTTTCCATGCTAAGCATGTGTTTCCTGTTTCATCAACACATGTTCAGTCACCATGAATTATTTATCTGATTTATCAAAATGCATTTTGACAAATAATCAGTGGTGGGATTCAAATATGTGAACAACCGGTTCTCTGTGTGGATACTGCTTCCGGAAGTCCATTCTGGGCCTGGGCAACAAAAAATTAGCTATTGGTTCTGCCAAACTGGTGCGAACTGGCTGAATCCCACCACTGCAAATAATATTTTTATGTTTAAATGTTGTAGCTTCATCCTGCAAATACAGATACCAGAAGGATGTCCCTCAAAAAGATAGTAAAAAAAATATGGGGGCCATACACAAATTGAGTTCTACAGAAAGTTCTATAAAACCAAATTGTTTTTCCAAAGCCAAAGAAATAGGAAACATGGAGACATCTAACAGCCATGACATATTTGTCAAATACAAACATTAACAACATTATTAGGAAAATCCAACATTTTATGAGTAATCTGAAAATGAAAAGAGACACTATTCCAGCCTGTCAAAGGCACAACAGAAGTCTTTCTATTACTGAAACCAAAGTAAGATATATCCCAATTAGAAAGACTGATATAACTTTATAAACACATCTATGGGGATCTACTGTCTTCTTTTAATACTTTCACCTCTCCCCATTAACCCTTGTAAAATTCCAAAAAAATGTCCCAAAAGCTATAGTACTACCTCATCAAATAATATTTTCTAAATTTATTTATTTAGATAGGGCATCTACAAAAGTCATGCAATCACTGGTGTATAAATTTCAGTTAAATAAAGCATCAGCAAATGTGTGTGTGTGTATACAATATAAGAAATAAAATATTAAATTAAGATAAAACCATAATAAAATCACCATAATATAGAGCCACAGAATTGAAATGGAATACTGTAGAGATGTTATAATTCAATATCTGAGGAAGTTAACCATCTAAGGGCTCCTGGTGGTGTGGGTGCGACAAGATCATCCCAGCTGCCTTGAAAATTTCCTGAGGAGACATTCTTGAACTATATGTATTATAGTTTGTTCCAAAGCACCACAGTCACATTGTGGGCTCTCGACCGTTCCGCACTTAAAGAGCTTTGCCTTTCTGACATGGCCTGTCCCGATTCTATTCAGGTGTTTCCATATTTTTCAGGGCAACTGCATTCCTGGAATGTTAATTTTACTAGATAGGTATTTAGATATTTAGACATTTTAACTGGAAAGAAAAAAGACTACTGTAAACTTTGAGACATAGTGTTATGTCTATAGCTCAAACAGGAATATATATTTCCAATGGGGAGTTATAGTTCTTTGGTAAAGTGAGGGTTTAGCTTATCAGACATTAAATTTTAATATACTTCAGTAAAATTAACTGAAGTTAAAGAATGCCTATATTCTAACATTCATTCTACTTAACAGTCTTGGTCACAGTCATAGCCTTCTACTATCAAGAACTACTGGCCTAACATGATTACAAATGACAATCAAGATACAAGGTCAGGCTTATGAAAGAACTGAAGGCTCTGCTGATACTACTAATTTAAAGTTACATAACACCTAAGCCTGCTCCTATAGATTATCGTACAATGAAATTGTTGTTTTGACAAGACAAACTAATCTGTTCTTCTGTGACAAGCTGAATAATTCAGCATGCCAGCACAACACAATAATACACTATGCTCAAATAGTCTTCATTCATTACCACACTACAACATAGTTTAAAACTGCTAGACTGGGATTAAGCCAAATATTTTACTTATGAGTTATTTTTAAAGATTTGCAACAGATACAAAAAATACGAAGTGACGTTTTCTCTACTTACTTCACATAAGAAGATACATAGGTAGTCCTCGAATTATAACCACAATTGAGCCCAGAATTGTTATTGTAAATTGTTGCGGTCATTAAGTGAGATGTCCCCGTGATCGCCTCGCTTAACAACCACAATCCCAGCTCCCTGTTAAGGCTGTTAAGCAGAGCACAGGGTGCCTTAAAGGGTAGGCTCAGGCCCATGCTTGCAATGCAGCACATCCCCAGCTCACCTGTGGCCTGCACTGCCCCACTCCCTGAGGCTCCCCTTGCACAGCTTCCCACCCCACTGGGTCTTGGGTCTCCTCCCCACCATGTCCTGCCTTGCTCTGCTTACCTCTTTCAAAGATTACTTTCCAAAAGAACACCCCAGCCAATGCAATATGTGACCTTCCACAGAGGTCACCTCATTCTGGAGGTGGGTGCCATTCATGTGATCTCTCAGAAGGGCACCCATTTCCAAATCGCATGTTTCTGGGGTGTCACTGAGTTTTTAATAGGCCTTGAAATATTTGTTCTCCATGAATTGTCCAATCAATTTTTAAAGCTACCCAAATTAATGGCCATCATTACATTTTACAGTTATTTCTGATCCCTATTCCCAGCGTTTTGAAAGGTGGTGGGGAAAAAAAAATATCCCTGTCTACTTTTTCCATGTCATAGATGGTTGAATCCTACCTTCCACCAGCTGGCTCTCTTTTTAAACTACAAACTCCCAAATAATCTAATCTTTTCTCATAAAATACATGCTAAAGACCATTCTGGTTGTTCTCTTGTGCAACTTTTCCAGGTCTATTATAGCTTTTTCAAATCTATGACCAAAACTGTACATAGTATTCTAGATGTGGAATTATAGATTTGCATAAAGTAAAAAAGGTTTACAATGTTTAGATTTACTTTGAATCTTTTTCCATCCTTTATGAACCCATCCGTTGAGTACAGAAAACGTAAGCCCATCAGTGGATACAGTATATGAAGTTAGAGGAGTGGGGTTTTTTTTGTCCAAATAGATATTACTCTGCACTCATATAAATTGAATTGTATTTTTTATTTGGTTTAGCATTCATCTGGATTAAAGGTGAGCTTTTCATATTCACATTTGCATTGCAGCACCCTAATAACCTTTATTGGACATGAGCTTTATGGGTAGAGAAGGAAGCTTGTTTCATAGTTATGGAATGCTCTTCTTAGGAAGGTTGATGTATGTTACATCCATTTTGCTATCTTAGAGATATTAGGGGGAAAAAACCTACCTATTCTGGTAATTTAAGACATGTAGCATTTATTTATTTCTAGAAAGGAAAAGTTCCCCAATATTATAGAACTTGAGGGCGATGTGCTATGTGTACAGTCAGGGCTTTTTTTGTCATAGAACGCCCAGAACGGAGTTCCGGCACCTGTTTTGGATGGAACCTTGTAGGGTAGGCAAGGCAGGTTGTATGATGCGTGTGAGTTCTGGCACCTTTTTTTTTTATACAAAAAAAGCACTGTGTAGGATAAATGCTGCCAATGGGATAAATAAGGATAAATGCTGCCAATGGGAAACAGAAAAGAGTAGAGAGTGCTTTATATTTGTATCAAAGATGCATAGAAAACCTTATCTGGAGAAGAATCTAGAACTGCCAGCTAAAATAAGATTTCAACTCAGATTGCTAATGGATTCAGACTCCCATAATATCGAAACAGATTATTCACAACCAAGAAAGCATTTTTTCTAAAAGTGTCACAAATATTGAATAGTTTATGATCCTTTACATCAGGGGTGTCAAACTGCCGGCCTGCAGGCCGGTTTCATCATACCGGAGCCGCGCCCACCCCATTGCCGGCAATGGCAAAAAAGCTCCGATACGTCGTGCGACGTCACATTACGTCACGAGTTTGACATGTCTACTTTACATGATCCTGTAATTAACTATATTTAATTAAACTTGATTTCAGAATAGAGATAATTCTATAAATGGCCACGCAAGTAAGTAAAAGCATCATGATATACATACCTGACCCACACCATACTTCAGCCAGGTGACATTCAGTCTCACCAGGCTCTTTGCATAAATCTACTATATCTTTGCAAGTAGTTTCTGGAGTGACTGGTACTTCTGTGAAGTGTTGTTCATTGTTAGTGAGGTACACTGTAAGAAACATCTGGAAGAGAACAGTTGTGTTCTATCAGTAACATTCATAACCTAAATTACAGGTTCTAATGTTTTGCTCATATATAAAATATTTCCCATTAAATATATATCCTGATGCACACTGATGATGTTGGAAAAACCATCAGTCACCTCATTTTGCTAAATATTAATTCCTCTACCAAAGGTTTAGGAAAAAATACAAATGTTATGTAAATACAGCTGCATGATTTCACTCCTCTTACTGCCTTTTCAAGTCAGAGTACAAAACACAAATTCTGCATAGTAGTTTAAATTTAAATATATATTTTAGACTTTGAAATGTATATAAGGTATCCTTGTGGTATGCTGACCAAGAATTTCAGAAGTTCTGCAATATATAAAGAATATGGATACTGGTTCTAGCCTACAAAAATTCAGATGACCATTAGATTGTCACCAAAGTGTTTGAAAGCAATATATGTCTCTTCTATCACCTTGTGTTCATTCAGTTTGATGCTGCCTATACCCAATAGCCCTGATCTACAGAGCACTAGGTTAGGGAAGATTACTCTAAGCAACAGATGATTCACAGTTTATTCCATTAGAATTAATTAATTCAAAAGAGAGAGAGATAAAATGTTTCTTTTTAAACAAGCTACTATATTCTTGGTACCTAGAGTCTTTTAAATAATTATGGTGAGTTCTCCTTCACAGTAGCTTGTTAAACTATGGGGCATATTAAGTGAGTATCTATCCATCTTATAATCATCTTCCTATAAATCTATCATGGGTTAGCTATAAAATTATGGATTTTTACAACTGCATTTCTATATATGGTAATAATAATCCAACTGTACATTAACTTATGCCAAGTCTTATATATCTTCTACTTTATTAGATTTGGAACTGATCAATAACATTTAGGGTCTAGATGAACAGTAAATTTTTACATTTTTTTACATTTGAAAACAGCTAATGAACATAAACTACAGTTTATTTTGATATTTTAAAAAATTAAGACCAATTCTAGTCACAATGCTTAACTATTGACTTCAATATCAGAGGTAGCACACATCAATTGTTGGGAATACAAGACAGAGATGCTGTATTCATGTTGGGAACATAAGACAGAGATGCTGTATTCATGTTCTATTAAGTATAAGCTTCAACATTATGAAACCACCATTTTATTAGGTTTGATCATATTTAGTTTGGTATTTATCTTCCTTACTTGAATCCACATTATTAAAAATACACATTATTAAAAATGCTTGCCCTCACATTGCCTAAATAACTGCCTGTCCATGTGCCAATTACATCACTGCTGAATACAGACCTCAGTAAAGAGGAGCCTCTAGGACTGGAATAAAGAGTATAATAGGAAAAACAAGTGGCCATAAGAAAGTACAAATTAAAATGGGAAACATCCACATTAAGGGTATGCATGTGAGCTAAAAAGGTAACTTTTCTTTCAAATTGAGGTCAACTCTTGCTGACCTCACAGACATGCCCATGTGATTTTCCTGCCAGTAGTAAAATTAGTTTGCAAGCACTTTCTTCTGGGATTTTTTCCCTCAGTTTCGTAGTTTACATTACAACCCTGATATTTGTTGGAGATCTCGCTACTTCCCTCTACTAACCAGGCCAACCCTGCTGAAGTTTCCAAATCAAGAAAAAAAAATCAGCCAAGTGTTAACATATGTTGAGACTAAATGTGCTATTCAATGCAAATATTGTACTGCCAGTTTCCCTGATGTGTTGTTTTGGTAGATTACTTTATTGTTCTACAGAAATGAATGTCCTTCTAAATTCTTAAATTCAAACTCTTTAATTGAAGCTCTTCAACTCTGTGCAATTTTTGTCTAAAACTTATTTAAAATATTTCCTAATCTCAGCACAACCATAACTTTAATCTAAAGTCAAATAATTACAAAGTAAGTTCTTCCTGCTTAATAAAAGTCCTGACGAAAGGTCTCTTTTAAACCTGAAAAGAATGGATTCTAAATGTATTTCAAGAGGAAGTTGATTCTGATTATTAGGATCTAGATGGGAGAAAATTCTGAAATGCGAGGTGGTTCAGTACTTCAAAGACAACTGCCTGATGGGCCACTGGCTTCAGAAGGTGAATCTATAGTCTATGAGCAGTCTCTTTCTAGGCAGTGTTCCTGGTTAATGCCTTCGTTTACTGAGACCCTCCAAGAAAAGAAGTACTAGAAATTATTCCTGGAGCACCAACAGAGAAAGATGAAAGCAAATTCTACCAACATGTTATGTGGCCTTGTTGGCACCTACACCATGACCATGAAGGAAGCTAAATGAAATTATTAATTTTCCCTCTTTGATGGACCACTGTCATCCAGGGGTCCTGTTAATGTTCCTAACTTTCTTTTAGGAGGAAGCCATCAGAGTGATCTTCTGCACAGTTACATGAGCAATTTGTATAGCACTTTGCCAACATTTGGATTTGCCTCAGTCTTGACTCTGAATGAACATTCTGTAGTGATAACCAGAGGAATATCTTATCCTGTGATCTGGGATTTTCCTGGCCTATGCACTCTGAGGAAGTGGACAGGTTGCTCTTTAGACCATCCTCTGTCACATGTATATTAAACCCCTGCCCATCCTGGTTGTTGTTGGAAATGGTGGAGGTGTGACCATGTGGATTCATGTCAATACCTTCATATGTAAAGTACAGCCTCCTGCTGTCTTAAAGGATGCCACAGGCATCCTTTGCTGAAGAGACCATCTCTTAGGCTTGTTGCCTTGGATCACTTTTTCCTGTTCTCCAACCTCTCATTTTTGGAAATGGAAAGCATGAGAAGGACAAGCAAAATAGACCCACTTGACTCTGTTTGGTATAAGATGGGGCAGAGACAAAATCTGTCAACTCTCAAGATTCTAATATTATACTCTAGAGTCTAGAACAATAAAGCACTATTCCTAGATCTTTGTATTGTGTTTCCTCACCAGGTTTCACCAGGCTATAATATTATAATTAATAATTATAATTTCAATCACATATAATTATAATAATTTAAATAATTATCATTTCAACTCATATGCTGCCCAACTTGAAGGACTGACTTAGTAATACTGTTCCTAATATGTGGAATAGATCATAGCACTCTGTGTCATCACAAATAGCATATATAGATAAGCCCCAGGCTGAATTATAAGAGATTATGCCACAAAAAGAATGGAAACTGCACCTGCCAATATCAAGATGTCTCTCCATATAGGCATGCCCAGCCCATAGGTTGTGATGGCTTATGATTACAATCATTACCTACACCAGGTAATATGTTATTTGGTGCTTCCCACCAAAACTAATGACAACTGTAATCCATAACCTATGAAATGAAAATAATGGTCACCCACAGGGAAACCACCCACTATGCTCCTACTGTGGTCTCTATATTAATAACTGGTCATTTCTCTTCTTTTCAGCAGTGGATTTAATAGCTTGTGCATTGTTAAAAGGGAAATGGTTCCACAAATCTTTAAAACTGTCCCAGGCCAGAAGTTCATAAACAGAAGGTCCTCAGCATCAAAAATCCCATTATTTATTTAATATATACTATATTTATTTAATCAGATATTTAATAAGGGATCATCAAAATCAAATAATGTTATGAATGCCTTTGTTATCCTCTTTTTCCTTTGGATCATTATATACTGCAGCATTTAGATTTAGTCTTCTATGCATCTTTGATTTTTTACCAGTATAGGAAGATATTAATATCTGAAAAGGGTAGCTTGAACTACTATATTCAAGTATGTTATTAAGGTTCTCAGAGACTAGTCAGCATGGAAACCAATAGTTAAGAGTGGCTGGAATAGAAACAAACATTAAAACTAGGCAACAGATATCCATACCCCAGCTCTAAAAAAAAAAGCACCAGTGTTGTATTGCTAACATTGAGGCCCAAACAGAAGCTTATTGTAATATTCTGGAGCCAATTTAGGACATAGTGAAAGACCCAATGGTTAATTTCTAGCAATATTATCAGTGTCCTTTAATATCTGCTCCAGTAATAGTAGTATCTGAAAAAATAGTAACCAATTTGATTGAGCCTGTTTGGTGAAAACATGTTGAGAGGAGATTAGTTCCATGAATCAGATACTTGTGAAAAAGAACCAGAGAATCTGAGAGATAGTATCAAAGGAGAGGAAAATAAAATAAAATAAGACCAAGTCCTACTGAATCTGGTAAGAAAGAAATTTGGTAGATATAGGGAATACTCCCAGGCAATGCTGCTGTTGAGGAACTCTATAGCAGGGGTCTCAAACTCCTGGGCTGTGGCCTGCTAGAGGGCCATGGTCCACTGGGAACTGGGCCAACAAAGTGGCGGGCAAACAAGCAAAACTTCATTTGATCATGCACAGGATTTAGGCTGCACGTGCAAAACCATTCCCTACCACCGTCCAAAACACCTAAGCTACCGCCAATCTGTGGAACCAAAAATGTTGAAGACCTCTGCTTTATGGGATGCGTAAATTTCTGCACTTTAAAAATGGAGGGAACACACAGAGATTAAAATGCTTCTTATTCTACAACATTCTAAGTGCTGTGCAAACACAGAACCTGCTCAAGATTCCAATTCAAAATAGACCTTTCAGATACAAAAAATAGCTAACTCTGAAATGCAGAGTTACAATGACATCTCTTTCATCCTATATTTAAAATACCAGAGAAACTACTATTTAGAAAATGAAGCTTTTGGTGTGTGTTTTTAGAGTGGCACAGAATATTTAAAAAATACATTAAGAGGAGAAGATAATATAAAGAAAATATTTTCCAAAACATCTTTAATTAAGGCAGTAATGTCCATTTATCTATTAAAAAAAGCCTAATCACTAAATATTTTTCCATTCTCTTCATAAGCTAAGGAAGCATTTTTTTATCCTTCACTCCCCCTATGCAAAAAGGATATCAAACCTGTGCTTTTCAGAAGTGCTATTAGGAACTAAATAAATAACTGGATGCTGTGACAACTGCTGAACTTGAAAGATGGAAGTGTCAATTCTGCC